GCACCAAGGGGGGGGGGGGACTGGCGAGGCCAAAACCAAATATTTATGAGTCTACTCAAAAACGTCCTTGAAAGCGGGAACGAAGTGGCTGGAGGTATCAGAGGGAAGGCGGCCGAATCCCCGGAGTGGGCGGGGTTAGCCAGATGACCTAACGAAAAAGGAAGAAGAAAGGCTTTCTATCCATTCCGAATAAGAAGGTATCCGAGTAAATTGACGTCCTCATTAAACCAGTGAGGTTATGATCAGATCGGAAACCCTAGGTAGGTATGCTTTCTAAGCTGACTTTCTGTATCATCCCCTGACCAAGCACTATCCGAGAAAGTCATTATTAGAATTAAATAGTTTCATTTTATATTCATCGAAGGAAGTCCCAGATTGTCTGTACCAATCTTTCCCCTATTGCATAAGAAGGAGGATGCCCGGCGTAGCCGGGCATTACATAAGAAGGAGGAGAGCCCGGCGTTAGCTGGGCGATCCGACTGGTAAGAAATAATAAGCAACAAGATTTTGAGAAACTTCTTACAAAATACTTACTGTTTCTGTACATCAGCCTTTCAACAATACAAATGTCGTATTCCACCGGTTTGCATGGACTCATTTCACGGCTAAGATATAAATATTATAAACCGTACGGAACACAACGACAAATCCACAAAGCAGGGAGTAAACAGCCAAAGCTTTCCTTCTAATTCAAGAAAAATCTGGAACAAAGAATTTATACGGGCGAGATTAAAACTAAGCGTTGTAAGTGCGCGGAGTAGCTAGTTAGAATGGGTGCAACGCGACTGAAACAACACCATACTTCGGTGGAAAAGCGATAGATACAAAGGAAGCCCACAGCGTACAGTGAGCGTAGCAACAACAAAATCTAATTCTGCGCATGAAGGGAAATTGAATGCTCCATTCAACCATCGATCGGATCCCTCGGGTCAAATACTACTACGTGTCAAAACAGGAAAAGTGTCAAGTGTCACAAGTGAGCCCAGCTCGGTCGGTTCATTTTAGATGATATTGTTCCTGTTTTGACAGGTAGGTTTGAGCTCGGTTGCCCGGCTGGATGCAGATTGCCCGCATCCAGGTCGGTGACAATGCTTTTGATGACCATAGCCGACCATGAATGCAACCACAGACGCGTGATTTGAGATGATTTGACACTGACTTGTACGTCGGCTGGCCACCGCAAGTCATTGCATAGGCCCCGTAAGCGTTCAGAACCCACTACGATTTTGAAAGGAAGTCGAATGTGGGAGTGCATCAAAAACAACGAAATGATTATAAAAAAATTGTGCAAAAGTGGCAAAGAAAACGCGTAATCAAAGGCTCCAGAAAAGAAATAAAATCAGAGTGGAGAAAATGAAATACGAAAAAAACTGTATGGAAGCAGTATTTGGACGGCTGTTTGAACGCGCACGCCTACAGCTGCCTGCAGTAAGCTGCCTGCGCGCAGGGTGTGAGTCCTGGTAAATAGTCCAACCTCTACAGTTTTTACTACGCTTAACAGCTCGCCCTTCTTGGGTGCATCGGATAAGCCGGTTTTGGGGTCCCTATTACGCCCTATCTAGACAGTTTTCTTGACCGGACAGCGTCCTTAGGCTATCCTTGGCGGTCACAGATTCACCCAGAAGAGAAATTTCAGAAAACATTTTTCACATGAAGTGTGTCTTTAAGCAGAAGAAATATAGCCAAACCAATAACACACCTTCCTTGCGGATTATCGGGTTGTTCCGTTTCACAAAAAACGGGTGAACTGCTTCCTAAAAACAGCATCATTTACTTTTTAGATAGAATATTTCTTACAAAAGAACCTGAAGGTGGAGTTGGTGTACTGCAAGCCCGAGGCTCATCGTGAAACATCCTGAAACAGGAAATATAGTCAGTCTAATAATTTAAAGAAGTCACAACATTATAATACAAAGGATTACAATACATTCATGTTATGATCAAAGCATTCAGCAGAAACCCATTCATTCCTTCAAAAGCGTAACTTTGAAAAACCTAGACCAGTTCGGGAGAATGGTGTAAGTTGCGTAGATACTCCAATATGGGCGAATACACTCGAGTCACGGTTGGCATTACCCACAAAAGTGGGGAAAAATAGTTCAAGGTAAGCAATCGAGTTGTAGACAAGGTGTAGAGCAATCACCTAGGGTGACTGGGAAGTTAATTAAATGGGATATGTAGTACATCAAGTTACAACTCAGTTCAGTTATTACCGCCTCGAGAACAGGAAAATGGTGGTGTAGTTGTTCGGTGACCAAGGTTTGAGCACTCCAGTGGTCCGCTTGCTCCGCTGATTTATAATGTGTTCGTCAGACGTCCTGAGGGACCCTATCACCTAACGCCCTGACCAATGGTCATCAAAAAATGGCATTACGAGCGTGGCCATCTCTGTTCAGTTTGCTCTCACGAGCACCTACGGGCATGCACACTAATCTGTTTCACGAAAACATCGTACTCGTTGAGTTTAGCTGCAAACGATCGTTCCACAAAGCTGTTCAGTTAACATATATCCCACCATTCCGATGTTATAACCATGTCGCCCGCAAGACAAAGGTAACGTAAGGCCCGTGGAAATCCAGTCGTCTTCAAGAACGCCACTAACGGTTTTGCGAGATTTCTTTACGTCGACGATGACTTCCTCATAAAGTGGTGAGGTTTTGGTCATGAAGTTATAGCAGACCTCACGTATATCCCTAAACTAAGAAAGCCCCGATTGCCTAGAACTCGAAACGCCGCCAATCTCATGTGCCTGAGGTTCCCTTCAAGTCGACGGAATAACGAAGTGATGGGATCGTTTGCAACTTTTTACAAACCTCTTCACGCGAGTATGTGATTAGAGACAGCATGCAATTGGAGTGAAAATTGCCAAGGTCGTCTACGCCTTCGTCCTGTCGCCAAAATTGAAAAAGAAGGAAGTCAGCAATCCTAATGAGAACAGAGCATGTATGGATGTCAAGCACAATCGTGTGAAAGTTGTAATTCATTTAATTACTTCAGTGATTGGCAATGATTGAACTCAAGCTTCTGGGAGAGCGGAAATGAGCGGGTTAAAATGAACCAAAAAGGTGAAAGTTGGATTGAAAACCGATATGAGGAATTACACCAACATCTAATCTGTGAATCATCGGTCTTATACGTCATGCACCATAGTATTGAATCGGATAGCGCTACATTCAAGGCGAATTGGGTTTTCAGCAGTGTCAAACGATGGGGTGATCTGATGAGGGAAGGTTTACCTCAAACAGCCAAAGTAAAGCTACTACAGTCAAATCATTCAAATAACAAGCACCTCGAATCACCACTAAGGTAAAGAAATCATGGCGACAAGAAGCCTCCACTACGAAAATTTCCATTTCAGCACAGATGTTTATTACCGATCAGAAATTGTTATTCGCATAAACTCATCGCGTTAACAATTCAAATTTTACCTAATATGCACGAGAGTGTGTTGGGCTCTCCATTCACAGAAAACACGCAAAGTTAGCACGTGCAAATTTCGAAATTTTAAGCAGATTACTTACATTTCGGATGACAAGCTAAATTCAAGGGCACACTAATTATAAGAAACCTACTAAGGCAATAAATAACTTCGAGAAAAAGAGCAGTGGAACGAACGAGATGAAACTAAAGCCTTTAACATAATAGAGCATAAAAATCTGGTACATATTAATGTTTGCTATACTCACTATCGAAATTCCAAATGAGCATCATTTAAAGCTGTGACACGAGCTTAACTATAAGCCATGCTCATATCAAAGCAAGGGAAAATATTTGACGATTCAAGGTTAAAGCAGGATGATTTGCACGGCTGATAAATCTCATTTAATTCTATGGAGACGAAATTAAACAACTACCAACATTAAACGCATTTCACACTAATGTGATTCCAAGGAATCAAGCACACGTCCTCTAGGAATTGAAACAATACAGGAATATTTCCACAGATTAGACAGATAAGCTAATTAGGATAATGTACTCAACGAGATTTTCCAAGCGTGATGCAAAGTACTAGCTATTAGGACGCTTTGAGGATGAGACCCCGTGGAAGTTTGAGTGGATCGGAAACAAGCGCTCGAAAAGATTGATTTCAGTGCTCTGAACATGCTCGAGCATTGACGACTTTGAGAGATATTCAAAATACGACACCACCGTTTTAAGACCTTTCGAAAACGTAAGGTGTAACAGCAATCGAACTCCTATACAAGTGAGGCTGAGCAAACTTCCCGCAATATTTGCTATAGGCACCACACAACATACAGGAACTATATTGTTTTTTTAGTATATTACCACGGCAGGGTAGGAACAGCTCCGAATGGTTCTTCCGTGAATAAATGAATGGAGAGAGACAACCTGAACAATGAAAAATGAAGGAATCCAAGAGGCAAATTCTTTCAAAGCGAGGTTGACTTCATAAGCAATGAACGAGCAGTGAAACAGCACTTGCACAAGATATGTCGAGCAACAAACCTTACCATCGTCATTCTCCTGATGATGACGAGGAAGACTCCTGTGTTTCCATAGCTGGTTCGCCGGCTGTTTCTGCCATGTCCACTAGAAATTGAGGGACTACTTGGTTGAGGCTCTCCAGAAACTGAAACCTTTGACTCTCCTTCCACCGACGACTTCACATGTGCCCAATTAAACGACAACAAGATCAACTAACCTCCACCACGCAACTGGCCGCTCCAGCATCCAATTCAGTGTTTAACATAATATACATACGCCTCCTGTGATTCAACTTGGCAGAGAGATCCAGAAATCGCTTGTGAAAGGAACAGAAGTCGGCGTCGGGCGGTTCGAACAGAATACACTGGAAAGCATCACTTAGCGATTTTAGTATGATGTTCCGTTGGGAGCATGATGGCATAAGCTGCCGCTGCATGGTTTGAGCGATGCTGCAAAATCGAGGCGCGTACACCCGCTTCGACCGTTACACTGTCCGAAATCTTCATGGGTTGTATTCTAGTTTTACGTGGGTACATGACCGATAACCGATGTTCGTTACACCCTGTCCATGGTGGACTGCGCCACGCGTTAATATATTGAACCTCGTTTAGGTTACTGTTGTATGATTTGATAATTTAGGATGGGTTGAGCCAATATTAGACCGAATCAAGCGAGATCCAAACACAGTGGTGTGCCCTGTAATTGATGTCATTGATGATAATACGTTCCAGTACCACTACTCGAAGGTATTACGCAAGTACTTGTTTTTTATTGTTAACAAAGCTCGGTTTGTTTGTTTGTTTATTACATGTCAAGTATGTGTGGAGCCAGTAAGCCACATTAAAAAAGTATAAGGTGTAAAACGAGTTAGAAAACGATACAATAGGCATACATAAAACATAACTGTAAAGGTACAATCGGCGATACATACTGTGCATTGAACAAAACGGGAAAGGACTAGCTCACCACCGGAGAGTACGGCTGAGATAGGATTTGAGAACGTTTGTGGATATAGGAAGCGAGCTTTGCTTAGTGAGCTGTTTGTAAATTGCACGATTAACAAAAAAGCGATGCCTGAGGCTTGAACGCGCTGCATTGAAGTGCAGCCTGCGATGACCTCCTCTTATGACCGAGGGTAGAAGCTGATAGAAATCGGAGCTCCGAAGCTCAACTTGGCCATTCAGAACTTTGCTGACCATGACAACATCATTAATTTTTCTTCTTAGCGAGAGAGTTTCAAGCCTAGTGCTCCATTGCGGGACGCGGAGTCATGTACTGATAAGTAAGAGAATCCAAAACAACGAAGGAATAGTTTGCGCGTGAAGCTGTTCTGGACTGATTCTAGTCGCTTTATGCAGAGCTGTTTTGAGGGGTTGAACACTGTCGTCCCGTACTCTAACAAAGGTCTGACGTAGGTTTTATAGGCGGTGAGAAGAACTTTGGGGTTTGATGACGAAAGAGCTCTAAACAAGTTATAAATCCTTCGCTGGGCTGCGAGCGCAATTTTTTCGCAATGATTTGTGAAGTCAAGCTTATCATTAACGAGAAAACCTAGATCCATAGTTGACGATACGGCCGTAAGTGTGAAACCATTTAAGACATAGGGGAAGCTCGATTATTTGCACCAAGATGCAGCACTTTGGTTTTCTCGGGACAGAGCGGAAGTCTCCAATGGCTAGACCACTTATATATCGCAGAAATAGCAGAAGACATTCTAAATGTGCCTACCTCACTGTTGACCTCCGCATAAATCTTTATGTCATCTGCGAAAGCTTTACATTTAACTTCGTGCGCCGACAAAACTTCTGGGAACTCGTAAGTATGGATATTAAATAGAATAGGAGAGAGGACAGAGCCCTGCGAAACACCACTGGGTTGTATTTTGATTGTAGAATACGATTCGTTGACTCTAACTTGAAAGGTGC